CCTGGGGGTCAGCAGGGTGGCCACTGGCACTGACGGGTGCCCATGGGTACCCTGGGGGTCAGCAGAGTGACCACTGGCACTGACGGGTGCCCGTGTCCCCCAGGATTCCTGGGAGAGGGCGATGCCATCACCAAAGCCATCCACGACGCGCGGCAGCTGCTGCACGGCCACGGCGCCGCCATGGAGGGCTCATTGAGCAGCCCCTACCGCAAGGTGAGCGTCACTCTGTCACCGTCCCCTCTGCCACCCCAGGGCCACCAGCTGTGCCCGGGCTGGGGGCTGGCTCCTGACCCCGCTGTCCCGCAGGAGCCGGTCGGGATTGACTCCTCCCCGGTGAAGGAGCGGATGGAGGAGACCCCCGGCCACCGGCTGGACGAGGCTCTGCTGAGCTGCGAGATGGACGGTGAGGACGGCCGGGAGCGTGGCGGTGACCCCAGGGTGGCCCTGTCCTCCAATGTGGCGGTGACCCCAGGGTGGCCCTGTCCCCCGGCTCCTGCCCTCACTGCCGCGTGTCCCCGCAGGCTCCCGGCACTTCCCGGAGTCCAGGAACAACAACCACATCAAGCGGCCCATGAACGCCTTCATGGTGTGGGCCAAGGACGAGCGCAGGAAGATCCTGCAGGCCTTCCCCGACATGCACAACTCCAGCATCAGCAAGATCCTGGGTGAGATCCCGGGGCAGGATCCCCTCTGAACCCCTGGAGGGGTGGGAATGAGATCCTGAGGCAAGGGATCAACTCTGCATCCTCTGGAGGGGTGGGAATGAGATCCCAGGGCAAGATCCCCTCTGCAACCCCTGGAGGGTTTGGAACAAGATCTTGGGACAGGAGATCTACTCTGCAACTCCTGGAGGGATTGGAATGAGATCTTGGGACAGGGGATCCACTGTGCATCCCTGGAGAGATGGGAATGAGATCCAGGGACAGGAAATCCACTCTGCATTCCCTGGAGGGTTTGGAGTGAGATTTTTGGACAGGAAATCCACTCTGTAACCCCTGGAGGGTTTGGATGTGCACTGCATCCCCCTGGAGAGATGGGAATGAGGTCTGGGGATGGAGGATCCACTCTGAATAGCCAGAGGGATCTCCCTGACCTGGGGAATGTCAGGGAATCCCAGGAGGTTCCTGGGGAAGGTCAGGGAATGAGGAGATGAATCCAAGAGGGAAGATCAGGGAATGAAGGGATAAATCTCTGGAGGGAATGTCAGAGAATGAGGAGATGA